GCCCTTACTACTTAAAAATACAAAATATTTGAACAGATGCACATACCAGTTCTACTAGTGCTATTGTGACGTCAAGTTAAACTGTTTGTACTTACCATAAAAAGCCCTTTATTCATCATCTTATTTCCAATAAACATTAATGAAGGAATTTTAAGAGATGAATAGTCAAACTCCATGTCCTACTATAACGATAGTTCAAAAATATCAACGAATGCATTTCATCTGTCAAAATATCGCATATTAAAATAAATTATCACTTTATCCAATTATATAAATCTTATCTGATCTTTCCAAAAAATTAAGAATACTTTCTTATCTAAAAAGTACACAGGAACTGAAGGGTGAAGCAGTCATAGGATTTTACGAGTCTTTGAAAAACGTGAAAGTCTATACGTATTTTTAAGATAAACTTGAATTGTCTAATAAATTTGAAGACTTTTCCGATATATTTTTTAATACCGTTTCAAAGACGTTATTCGATTTTTCTAATGCATTCCCTAAAGAAAAATATAATAAGATAGTCTATAATAAACAAAATAATTTCATTTCAATATTATTTTAATATGAAAGAAATAAAAATGTAAAGGAACAATCGAAAGTCTAATAGACATAATAGACAAGTAAAATAATTGATTCTACATCCTAGATAGTCACTCATGAAATAAAATATAATATTTGATTAATATTGATATTATATAATATTGATTAATATTCACAACGTAATTTGTCTGTTTCCTAGAAGGCCGAAATTTTTTATGGTACCATATTTGTCCCTCATTGAGAGGAAAAGTTTAAAATATAATATTCAGAAGGATTTCCATACAACTTTTAGCTATGAACAAAATATAAAATATGAATCAATTCAGAAACATTTTATTAATTAAAGATACTATAGTATCTTTAATTTGATATTTCTTTAAATAATGTAGACATTTTTTGTTCTCATAATCACACCTCAGCTAAGTAATGTATATATATGTATGTAACATGCGCCATAAACCCACATATAGTAAGATGCAAAATGATTTTTATGATATTCTTAGATCAATTCTTGTTACGGATCCATAGTCCTAAAGTCAAGATTGTCAATGGCCAGGAAGAACAGTGAATAATTTGAAGTGATATAACCTTACTGCTTTAAAATTTAAGTTAAAACCTTGTTAAACTTATGAAGTTCATATGTAATTAAGTCTCATTAATATTTGCGAGATGAGGTTCGATAGTTCTTCTTTTATAGTTCCATTTAATTAATTTTAGGTGACAGTGATTGGTTACGTTCTAAGCTAAACATCAAACTTCTACTAAGCAAACTGTTCCAAAACCACAGTGTCGTAAAATCAACATTGCAAGCGACCATTGAAAGGATGTTAAGATTACAAAGAGATCAAACTCAACAAACCCACAGAACAATCCCGTCCCATCTTAGAGATAATACTCGTATTATGCTTTAAGACAGTGCAAAGATAGATCTTTGAATGTTAAATAGATAGTGAAACGGATCTAAATCATTTTAATAGTTATATACAACAGAAACTTGTACTTCCTTAAGCCTTTATTTATATTTTTGTATCAAACAAACATTTTACAGATACCATTTTTCATAAAAAGAGTGAATTGAAACTCAGTAAAATTTGAAAAGTAAAGTTTTATTTATATTTATTCTACTATGATTTAATAACCAGCATCTTTAAACAATTTTTCTCTTACTTATACGATATTAGACCTTTATTGTAATGATGTATACACTAGATAATATTTGTATCACCCTACAATAAGTCATAACACAGAAATAATATTGGTAGAGCCTAGTTGTGGTCAAGTAACTACAGCTCGAACATGGGCTGGCTCGACCGGGGAAGTACCACCCTTTCACAGAAGATCGGCGTGAAGTAGCCTTCACTGGCTGCGTTTCGTCCGATGAGTGAGAGAGCCGGTAGCTCTTTCCCTTTTCCCTTCCTTTCCTACCCCTTTTCTGTTCCCTCCCTTTCCCATGTTTCCCTCCCCCTCTTCCCCAATCAAGGGTGGCGACACATCCGCAACATGAAAAATGATGCGGATACCTCCATCGTGTAGGCCGTCTGCTCAGTTGCCCTTTTTACCATAAAAAAAAAAATATTTTTTGAATAATTCGAGCAAATGTATTTAAGCCGTATATATGTATATTATCTATGGCAGCTTCTGATACTAAGCTACTCTGTGCAATATTTCCTTTTAGAATTGGTGTTTCCCACTTCATTTTATATTTATTATCTTACAAACATGTCGTTATTAAAGGTATACAATGAAATATTTATTTAAGATCTGTTGTCTTAGGACTGCTCCTATTGTGATTATATTATAACGTACTAACGTTTAGAAGATTTTGTTTATAAAATAAATGAAGAGAACCCATTACAGAAATACATGATAAGCTGTTATCAATATAAATTTGCTCTAATTACAAAATAACACAACTTTATAATATGTATTTATATATATTTAAAAATTTGTTTCAAATCGATGCCGTTTTATTTTTCTTCATATAAATTTTAAACAAAACTTAGAAATACTATCAATTCAATATACAATAACTCAAATTATAATTCAAATTGAAAACCTAAAAATAATACATATTATGTTTTTATTATAACCACTTTAAAAGCTATTTAAATTACCGACATTTCATAAAATTATTGTAATGTTTATTATCATGACTTGACTCTATTTATATTATATTACTCAATTATAAGTCATTTGCATTCAAGACTAGAGTGAACGGGTTGTAATTGAACGTAACGTAACTGAATTTGTAGTAGTACATAGTAGTTTTACCATCTATGTATAACTTTATATGTTCCTAGCAACAGGTTGAAAAAGAGTTAAGTGCTATACAGTTTTAATTATAAAAATACAAGATTATTATCTAGATCAAACAATGGAAATTGATATATTTATGGTAATTCCAGATTTAAATCGGATTTAAAATAAAATGAAATGTGCCGCCATAAAAAGTAGCAATAGCGTTATAATGTCGGTCGCTGCGAGTGGTTTAAATATTTTTACACGAAGTTCAAACTGCTTGCAGTACGATTTAAATTCATAGAATTTTTTTCATTTGACTTGTTCTGGTTTCTATAGGAGAAACAATGCAATACATTATAATTTAAATTATTTCAGACTCATTTATACACATCCTAAAAACTTTAATATTTTCCTAAAAATATTATAAAATCTGTGAAAATATATCTACACAAATCCAATCTTTCATCGAGAAACTAGTGAAACAGTATAAATATTGTTGTAAAATGCTATCTATTTCTTGAACAATACGGTGTAGTTTGTATCGCAGGGATTAGATTTTAAACCGATTTGTCCAGGATTTCGATGTTGTTTGTACCAATTGCAACAACACATTTGAAAACAACATTTGAGTTGAATTGAGTCTCTACGACATTGATATGACGTTTTTATTAATTGTTATATTTTTTCTGAGTAATAAAATTACTTTGAATATATTTATAATTTGTCATAAGGAAGTATGTGCGGTAAATATGTTACCATTACGTCGATAAAAAACGAGAACTTTTATAATGCTTTCAGTGAAACTTAGAACACATATAAAAATGTATATACTGTGCTATTTTATATTTTTACGATCTCCCAAAGAGAATGTTTCCCAATTTTTCAGTTCCTTGGACGATGTAGTGATATGATTTTTATCCAGGAGGTAAGAACATAATGAGTGACGCCATTTTAAGGAGTCTTTTTCCTGCATCCCCATGATCTGTATCATTACACTGTAGCTGTTTATCAAGTCCTTGATCAATTCTATATTCCCTAAGGTCAAGACTATAATTATTATCCATTTAATTTTTAATTACAAATTTTGAACTCTTTTTATATAATCTTAATAGTAAAAGTTATGATTGCTTTATGTATTTTTCTCTACATTAGATTGATATCACGTCCTGACGAGGTTAATGTATGACATATATTTTGTATTAATTTTACAAGCTTTTAATATAATTTGTATTTTTAACTGTAGTATTAAGTTACTTGCAAATTTTAAGTTGTATTATTTTAAATGCATATGAATAATAATTATATTATTTTACAAATCAAATATTTTAGACATTATTACGTTCGATTATATTCACAATATGAGCAGTCTAAAGATAGCAGATCTTAAATAAAACAAATATTTCATCGTATACCTTTAATAACGACATGTTTGTAAGATAATAAATATAAAGTGAAGTGGGTAACAATTAAGGCAATTCCAAAAGGAAATATTACACAGCAGAGTTCAGTGTCAGAGGCTGCGCTAGATAATAATAATATGTATATACAAGGTATATGTGTATGAGAAGGTAAAGAAAACAAATGAATTGAATTCATTCAAACAACTAAAGCGATTGATACCCTTTAAAATTGTAACAGAAACTGTTTTGGTTGCAATTACGTTGATAAAAGCATTATAATATATGTCTTTACATATATCTCCAATGTACATTGTACAGATGGCGATCAGTTACAATTTTATTACATGTATAAATACAAAATATTTCTAATGATTTCTGGTGAAAACACTAGATAATAATCTCTAAAAGGTCGTTGATTGATAATACATTCTATATCATTTTATTGACAGGATTTTATCAAATTTATATGTGTACTTATATTATTATGTTTTCATAACATAAATATATGAATTAAATAGATGAATTATTTATTAATTCACATCACTACACGCGTTCTCTTTCCTTTGATTTTTTTTAGGAATACAATGTTACATACATTTTTTAAAAACAAACCTACCACCACCACCAATACATTTTCAATGTCATTTTTTATGTTCAAGCAGGATAAGATACGATTAAGACGGAAGCGATCACCATGTAGGTAGTCTTATCAGTATTCTACTGATATAAAGATAAATTCGTAGTCAACTTGAATTGGTCGATAATAAAATCAATTGTTGACCAGTTTTTAAAAGGAGTGGATAGTGTTTAAATAGAATAATGAGATTGTGTATTTTAATATCGATATGCCTTACACAAGTTTTGTCAGAAGGCACCGAGGAAAGAGAATCACTATTGGTTCAAACTAACTCTGGTCTGGTTCGAGGATATAAGGATCCGAAAGAGGATGTCTTCGTGTTCCTTGGAATACCATACGCTACAGCACCTACTGGTGCACAAAGATTTAAGGTGAACTCTTGTTTCATAATGACCTTAGAATACTATTAAAAATATTAATGCAACATCACTTAGATTGTACAGAAACATCATGTTCATTAGAAACTAAGCTACAGTTAAATTAACGGAAAATAGAAGTAAATGATGGTCAAAATAACTTTTAGTGCACTTGTGTAAATGGATTTATTAGGCGAAATTTACCTGAAGTATCTCTTAATTTATCATAGGTAATATTCTGAAATATTGACCGTCAAAGTATTAATATAGCAATGTAACAAAAATCCTTTGAAATATATGGCTTAGGATAAAAAAATATGATGGTATTTTTATGGGAGATATAACTATTTCACGACTTATACAGGTATTTTTTTTACGAATATTATTTTCATTTTAATATTATTTCAGGCCCCATTGCCTCCGCCGACCTGGTTGCACACGTTTGAAGCCGTAGATGATCGAATCATATGTCCTCAATCAAACGTTTTATTCATTTTAGAGTCAAAGATCATGCAGGAAAATTGTCTGATTGCCAATGTTTATGTTCCAAAGACAGAGAAAAAAAACCTTTCAGTCGTTGTCTACGTACACGGTGGTGCCTTTGTATTCGGATTTGGATCACTATCCTCACCGAAGAAATTAGTCAGCAGCCAAAATGTTATTGTAGTGACATTTAACTACAGATTAGGAGCACACGGGTTCCTATGCTTAGGCACTGAAGACGTTCCCGGTAATGCTGGTATGAAAGATCAAGTGGCACTGCTGCGATGGGTAAAAAAAAATATTGCATTCTTTGGAGGTAACCCAAATGACGTCACAATAGCTGGATACAGTGCAGGGTCATCATCAGTAGATCATTTAATGTTGTCGAAAATGGCTAAAGGACTGTTTCATAAGGTTATTCCGGAGAGTGGTGCAAGTACTTCTCCTTTCGGTATACAAGTTGATCCTATACAGTATGCAAAAGAATATGCCAAGCTTATAGACATAAAAAATGTTGACTATATATTAGAAATGGAAAATAGTTACAAAACAGTGTCATATGAAGTTTTACAATCAGTAGTCTTTGCGATAAGAAAGGATGTAACATTTCTTAACGTTCCTTGTGTGGAGAGGGATAATGGACAAGAAATGTTTCTTGAGGAGGCTCCTGTTAATATTTTAAAACGAGGGGACTTTCCCAAAGTACCTATGTTGTATGGCTTTGCTAATATGGAGGGCTTGGTGTTCATAGAGTACTTTGATGTATGGAAAAATGAAATAAATGACAATTTTGCAGACTATTTACCGGCAGACTTAAAATTTGAGAGCAAACAAGACAAAACTGAAGTTGCAAACAAAATTAAAGAATTTTATTTTGGTGATAAAAAGATTGACGATGATACTATTATACAATATGTTGATTATAGATCAGATACATTATTCGCTTGTCCTACTTTGAGAAACGTGCATCATTTAGTTAAAGCAGGACATAAAGAAATATTTTTGTACGAATATTCATATACGGACGAATACAGTAGAGTTGTACCACATACTAATGTTCGGGGAGCAACTCATTGTGCGCAAACTGACGCAGTGATTGATATTTTCAACCGTGATTCAATTATAGAATATCATAACAACGATTTACTTAACATGAAGCGTATTATGAGGGATCTGTGGGGAAATTTCATAAAAAATGGGTAAGTTTTAGATGCATTAAGTGTATTATTTTAAAATTTTATTTATATCCTTTTATAGTAAAACATTGTGTGGAGGGGAAAACATTGTTTATCAAAGGACAGATTTTTTGACTAGCAGTTCTAAAAATAGTTTTGGTTTATTTTGCAGAAAGCCTACAGCTTCAGGAGCGCCTGAGTGGAAACCTGTAGATCTTAATGAGTCTCATTATATGGCTCTCGAGAAAGATCTGGAACTTAGAAGATCATTGTTAAAAGAAAGATGTGGCTTTTGGGATGAAATCTATGATTCACATTACAAGGTTCCTATAGCTCCTTCTTCTTCACCACAAAAACATAGTGAACTGTAGTTACAGTAAAATATTGTGTTAATATAATAAAAGCATCTGTTAATAAAGAAGTTAAAGCGATCTTACGAAGATTTTATTTATGCAAAACAGATAGAATAAAACTATGACTAGACGTATCTCCTTACGGGATTCCAGCTACCAATTAATCTGAGAGGGAGGAATTTAAATCTGATATTTAGCAATACACTTAACATGGCGGTAGTATAAAAAAACATTGCAATAGTTAATTTATGTATGGCCTCCAAGGCACAGGTTTACCTAGTGTGGAGACCAAAGGTTAATTATAGTTAATGTTAACGTTTTTTTGAATAATAAAGATATTATTATTATTATTATTATATTATATAGTTAATAATAATAATAACTGTGTATGTATTTATATTCAAACAGGATTAAACCGATTTTTACGCATAAGCTTTGTACAATTACGAAGCCATTATGAAAGTAAATAGTTGGTTAAGTAAACATAGTTTTGAAAAATTCAAAAAAAGCATGGTTGGCTCAAGTGTTACTAATGCGATGTGACTTGACCTGGAGGTTCTAACTTTCACTGAATCTAATAGCTGTATTTACTAGAATACTTTTACATTTTAACTACATCGGTCATCACGACTCGGGTCTTCAGTGTCCTATTAAAGATGCTAAAGCGTTGAACTAACAGATCCAATCATATCCAATACGGGCAGATGTAAAGATGTATGAAAATTTCCTTTTTATTGTATTTTTGAAGAAATAAATTGCCTCGTTACTGTCTGATAGAACCTCTTGACTAGTCATGTTTAGGTCTTCAAAATACGCCCACTTTTTATAAACCCATTATACATAAAACTTTTGGTGAACTCTCAGGATTTTTTACTTTTTGTTATATTGATTATATCTTTAGGTTTCCTATGAGAGTTCACCAAGGTATTCAGAGACTAAAATTAGTCACAAGATTGTCTAATAGCAGCATTTTTATTCGATCTTTAGACATGTGCATTTAAAAAATTTATATCTGTAATGGTTTAATTTAGACACAACTTTCTTCTGGTTAAATAACAACTGTTCTTAATTAGCTTATTTATTAAATACCCCCATAAAACGTTGCAGCACAATTTTGTCAATTTATTGGAATATCTTCTTAATGTTCAAAAATTTCCGTTCAAAATTACGTATTCTGAACGAGTTAGACTTATACAAAATATTAATATTAAACCACTAACACAAAATACTCTATCATTCTTTTAATTGGCGTTTTTGGATTGTACAATTCTTCGTCATACAAAAGAGTTTTGCTATACAGACATTTAAATAATAATTCCTTATTTGGGACTCACGTTTGTATTGTTAAGAGTAAACTGATATATTTTTAGTATAGAAATAAACAAAAAAAAAGGAACAAGAGTAATGCCCCCCTTTAAGAATATACTAGAAACATCAATTGAAACTGAAAATATTGGGCCCTGACAAAACAGCTCATTAATTGCAAATTTTTTTTCAACTAGTAATTTTTTCCAAGTGACCAAAATTATTTAGAGTTTTTACTAGTTAATTTGTTTTTATTAGATGTAAAATGTATAGTTAACATGTTAAGATAAAAACTGTGTAGTTAACCTCCTGAAAAAATGAAGTTTATGTAAAGTAAACGTGACTCTCATTCATTCTATTAAGGATTTAAATATTTTACTGCACGTTCCGATGAGACACACGAATTGAATTGAAGTAGGTAAAATTGAAAAACTTACTGATTTTTAATTTAATTTGTATGAATCATGTTTTCATGATACATGTTCTAAAGACTATAAAAAAGATTATATTATCAGTTAATAACAATAAAACTGACAAGACGAACGATTATTTATTAATTAACTATGATTACCTATATTAATTTGTTGAATAACATAAATAAATTCTATACCTTTGCTACAAGCATATACAGTAATGGTTTCTTAATATAATCCCAAAATTGACAGAATTATTATGAAGAAGGTAATACAGTTCTGATACCTATTATAAATTTAGGTAAGAAACGTTAAAAAAATATTATTATTGCTTAAATTTTGGCCAAAAAGAGCAAGTTACTTTACAATTTGCATTATATTTAACTTGGAATCAATCATTTTTGATTAATGCGTTAAAAATATAATAAATAGTATTGGATTGATAAGAAAAACCCACTGATTAATTTATCAAAATAATTATTATAACACGAAGATAATTAATATGACACATATCATCATATTCATTTATCCAGCCTAAAAATATTTTGATGACTCAATTCTAATCAGACTTAGATATCTCAATACTTAATCAGTCTTTGATAACATTGTTGTTGATGTGACTTAAAATTCTTTTAAAATAAAAGCATTTTGATCGAAGGCATTAAATTGATAATATTTATATAAGAAAAATTATAAAATTTTAAGTGTTTTAACTGAATCTTAAAGTAGTTTTGTTAATGTGATATCAATCGTACACATGACAGGCAACAATAAATTTAATTTTTTGTCCTCCTTTTAGAGAAATATATTTATTTAGGTCGATGTTTAAAATCACATCTAGATGTAAGTGAGAGTATAATACTGGTATTGGCCTAGGTAGCTCTGCCAAGAGTCTTTCATTTTATTTTCACTTATCTTTATTAAGTGGATCACATAATAAAAAAGAAACATTTTTTTATTTCTTCTTCCTAACAAATATGGCAGAAAATGTGTTTACCATTTTATTTTAATACCACATTCATACGGCCTATTGTAATTTATAAATTATATGAAATGTAGTAAACATTTAAAACAAATATTGCGATGATATCTTTGACTTCACGTGCGATACCCGAGAATCCAGTCAAGGTCATTCGAATAGACAATTCCTATAAAATATAAATATTAGACTTAAGTGACCCTCTAATCCTTTTTTTTTGTCTCATTTTCCTGCCTTTAATATTCTTAAAATCCATTGTGATCTTTATGATCTTTTACAGACAAAGAAATTAAACAGGAAACCATAATCCTTATTAATACAAGACTAAAAAAATTTATTAATTGTT